CATCACAACTGATCTAATTATTAGTCGGGGTATATTTTCGCAATTTGTGTAAAATCCAAATCTGATGTATGTAAGCTAATAAATGTTCTCGTTAACCTTATCTCGCCTTTTGATTCGTTCACGGTTACAAGAAATTACCACATAGAGTCTCTTAAGTATCCGTAGATATATCAAACATAGAAATAAATAACACAAAATAAATTGTAGCTATGCGTCAATTCCGCGCGGCACGTTCGAACATGTAAGCTAAACGATAGTGTGGGGGGAGTGAGTAATCAAGAGTTGCGTGGCGTTCAAACAAAAGACGAATCGACGAGATTTGAAAATCGCGTAACTCCGGGTTCGCGTAAGTCGGGGTAGCGTAAGTCGAGGTATCACTGTATTTGTCAGATATAATCAGTCACTTTTATAACCACTTAAAATGGGTTTTTTTGGACAAATAAACCAAAATGCTATGTCTTTTGAATCCAACTCTCACCTGATTTCAAGAATTACTCAGAAGATGATTAATTCTCAGATATTTTATTTAAATGAATTTCGGATTGGAATTCTCTTCCAAATATTGGTGTAGGCTCCGTTGCAGATTGCATCTTTACTAAAGAGGGATCGGTGAGAATTCTAATCCAAAATAAATTTAAATAAAATATCTGAGAATCAATAATCTTCTGAGTAATTCTTGAACGCGGGTGAGTGTCAGATTTGGACATAACATTTCGGTTTATTCATTCAAAAACTCCTATTAAGTGGTTATAAAAGTGACTACAGAGGTTTGTTTTTGCTAAACACAAAATGATGTCACAATTTTTTTTATTATTAGAGAGGTTGAGGCACACGTTTTAAACGTGTAAACGTATACGTGTGACGTTCGGCGCCGCTTTCCCGTAAGCCTAAAAGTTTGACAATGATGTTTGGATAGTCGGTGGAATCACGCTCGACATTCCAAACACCATCGTCAAACTTTTAGGCTTACGGGAAAGCGGCGCCGAACGTCACACGTATACGTTTACACGTTTAAAACGTGTGCCTCAACCTCTCTAATAATAAAAAAAATTGTGACATCATTTTGTGTTTAGCAAAAACAAACCTCTGTAGTCACTTTTATAACCACTTAATAGGAGTTTTTGAATGAATAAACCGAAATGTTATGTCCAAATCTGACACTCACCCGCGTTCAAGAATTACTCAGAAGATTATTGATTCTCAGATATTTTATTTAAATTTATTTTGGATTAGAATTCTCACCGATCCCTCTTTAGTAAAGATGCAATCTGCAACGGAGCCTACACCAATATTTGGAAGAGAATTCCAATCCGAAATTCATTTAAATAAAATATCTGAGAATTAATCATCTTCTGAGTAATTCTTGAAATCAGGTGAGAGTTGGATTCAAAAGACATAGCATTTTGGTTTATTTGTCCAAAAAAACCCATTTTAAGTGGTTATAAAAGTGACTGATTATATCTGACAAATACAGTGATACCTCGACTTACGCTACCCCGACTTACGCGAACCCGGAGTTACGCGATTTTCAAATCTCGTCGATTCGTCTTTTGTTTGAACGCCACGCAACTCTTGATTACTCACTCCCCCCACACTATCGTTTAGCTTACATGTTCGAACGTGCCGCGCGGAATTGACGCATAGCTACAATTTATTTTGTGTTATTTATTTCTATGTTTGATATATCTACGGATACTTAAGAGACTCTATGTGGTAATTTCTTGTAACCGTGAACGAATCAAAAGGCGAGATAAGGTTAACGAGAACATTTATTAGCTTACATACATCAGATTTGGATTTTACACAAATTGCGAACATATACCCCAACTTACTCGAATTCGACTTACGCGGTTATCGCTCAGTCCCACCTATCGCATAAGTTCGGGGTATTACTGTATTACTAATTTTAGCTTCATATTAAGCCTCTGTAGATTTTACTCTTTTAACTCTTCTCTGATTATACTTTCATAATTGCATGAGCAATACACATAGCTGTGTAATGCGGAAAAATCTCTTTTGAACCTGGACAAAAGTGAAAGTCATGTTTGTTTGTATATTGCCCAAAGTCTTTAATTATATTACTTGTTATATTGTATTAACTAATAAAACATAATTATATTATTTATATTATAGTAAATATATGAATAATGTGAAAGAGTATTTTAAAATTTTTATATAATTTTTTTCAGATGGGCCAATGATTGTGTCTATATTTTAACAATTCTGAAAGATGATTGGGCACCCTTAGTCCCCATTCAGGAAAATGACTCATTAGAAAATATAGAATGTTTTTTCTCATCAATTTCTGCTACGATGTATCGTTTGCTTTATTATTCTGTAATAGAAAATCTAGAAAGATGGATAATGTTTTTGAAAAATTATAAGGTTTTCTTTATTCATAATTATCTGTGTGATATTTTACTTTGTTATTTAAAATTAATCATTTGTTGATTATAATTTTGAGATCAAAATTTATAAAACTGATGTAACTTTTTGTTTACTTTTATCTTTAGGAAGAAAATAAGTTATATGAAGATTTGAAACAAAGAGAATTATTTAATCCTTCTCTTATTATTATAAAGGTTGTTATAAAAAATCAAAAGCTAGAATTTGAGCCAAAATTAAATGAAATTAAAGAAAATATTGAACAATTTATAAAAGAAATAATATCAACAGTTAAAAATATTCCTCGGGTTAGTATAAAGTTATTTTTTAATGTAGTCGTTCTCAACCCTTGTTCCGCAAACTTGCCTGAAGTATTTCACAAAAAAAGTTCAAAATTTTTATTGCAAAATTATTCTGTTTTACAGTTATATTACTTTACTTCTAGACAATTTCATGTTTATTATTGTATTCAATACAATAAAATTTTATTTTTTTATTGCTTTTTTGTACCATGCGAATAGTAAACATGGAATTGCTTATCAATTTTTGAATATATTGATGCTAATGCTCCATATAATAAAAAGTATATGAATGATGTTCCACAGCATCAGAAAGGTTGAGAATCGCTGCTTTAACCTATAGTTATAATTAGCTACTAAATACAGTCAAACCTCCGATAATGCCTACTTCCCAACAACTGTCCCCTCTTAACAGTTTATTGGGAATGTTGAATAAAAATGCATACAAAATGACCTGCAAAAATGGCCTTTTTAATGTTCCTCATAGTAGTCATTGTTCAGAGGCTTAACTGTATAAATTTAAAGAATTTTTTCAGTTAAAATTAGTTATGAAATAAAATTTTATATGTGTATTGTATATTTTTAAACTGTTATTTACAAAAAAAATGAATTTTATAATTATTATGATTATTATTTACTGTATTTAATTGATAAAACTAACATACTTATCAAGGAACCTCTTAAATTTAAATCCAATTCACACTGCTTTTTTTGGAGTAAACATTTTTTTTACAAAATCTAAATATAGGTTGCAATACTTTGCAATTTTCCCAAATGGAGATATAGAGAGGCTGGATCACAGGTCTGTGTAAACTTTAGATGGGCGAGATATAAGTGTGATAACCGAGGGGGTTAGTTGTCCCCACTTACCGGCGGCTCTGTCAGAGGATGGCTTTATAGGAGGGCAAAATAAAATTGAGTGGGGAGGTCAGTGAGTAAGCCGACAGGTTCCCAAATGAATACACAGGTTGAACAAGAATAACACATTTAATAAACAACTATAAAATAGTACATATCAAAGGCTAAGGAGAAGATCTACAAAATTCTATTCTATGTCGCGACAATGATTTGTCTTTCATATGAAACATCTAATCTCTATTCTCTAAGTTAAGAGACGAGAGAGAGATCTCTAGAAGAGAGATTTCTCAGAGAGAGATTTCGCAGAGAGAGAGTATACAAATATATATCCAAAAACAAATACCTCTAAGTTCCCGATCCATAATATGGGTCGTTGGTAAAAATGTTCCTAGATCGTCACGGCAGTATGGCGGTATTGGTCAGTAGATGTGGCAGCCGATGTCTGCCTTGTGAATGTCCCTCTTGTGAATGTCCGCCTTGTGAATGTCCGCCTTTTGGGGATGGCCGCCCTGTGGACTGCGTCCAAACCCTCTTTATACTATTTTTGAGGGGGTGAGAACTATGACATCATTCATGATTTATACGCACACCTGTTCGTGTGTTGATGTCTAGACCTAGCTTGTACTGACAATTGACACATAGAAGTTTGTTTAATTATTGCTATCAGTGTCTAGAAGATATGATTTTATAATATAAATTTCTATAGGTTTGACGGCTCTCATCCATAAATTAACATTCATCTGACAATAATTTCTTTAACCTGGTCAACTATCTAGATATTGTTTATATCAAACGTCGCGTTTGAACGTACGAAGGAGGCGATTTATTGCCGTAACCACGTGTCACGTGCAACCAAAGAGGGGGTAAAAACATCTCTTATTCCCGTCTTGTTGATATTAACGTCTATAGAATTACCTTTAAACAAATGGAGGAGATTTCGTATATTGATATACTAACGATTTTTTTGAGGAGATCATCTCGGTCATCGACTGTAGAAGTCCCCCTTTTCTCTTTTACTAGGAAAATTCCTAGATTTATACTGCTCTGAAACAGAAAAAGGGTTTCGGACCTTCACATAAGCTGAGCTCTACTTCCACCAGAGACTTACATTTAAGTTTTATGAGCTTCGAAAGTAGCGACCTTTCCATAGTCCTTAAGGCACCACGAAGACATGCTGGGAAGGCTTTCCGGTTGATAGAAATACACTTTGGAGTTACATCATGCCCCCTGCACTTGAGCAGGAACACTAGCTGGGTGTGCACCTTGTACCATTGCTTTTTACAGTTTAGCATATCAAAAAAGGATATTCGTTGTCCAGAATTTATCTTGGAAAATATCTATAATATAGTGATAGACAGCACGCTAATCATTTGTTACAAAAACTTTTACCATATAAGCGTTAATACAGGTAGTAATGCTTTCAGTCTATATGTCTATTATTAGGAGTCAACAAGAGATCCTTATTAATTTTGATGAAAGTGATAAAGATTGAAAAGACTTGGATTTTAAAAAAATTTTTGTTTTGAAATAATTTGTTTCAGTTGGCTTAATAGACAAATTTGATACAGTCTCATGTTGCTGTGTACTTGAAGTTTATACATCATTGTATAATTGAATATATGATACAGAAAGAATGAAGATTTTTTAAATGTATTTTTTATATATCTAGAAAGTCAATTTAATGAAACATTTTGCAACTTTGAAAATTATTGGCAATATAAATTTATGAATTTCTTTTGTTGTAGCTTGTGCATGAATAAAAAAAATTATTTTTTGAAACATGTATATTGTTTAAAAAGTATATTTACTGATTTTAAAAATAGAAATATAACAAAGTTTTCCTATTTAAGTAATGAGCAAATATTGAATTCTATTATTTTGTGAATCAAAAATATACTTTTAAAAACATTAATTATTTTGTCAGAAAAATGTTGAAATTTCATTATGGAATATGAGCAAGTTATTTGAAAAATATTTTGAAAAAATTTAAGAATATTAAAGAACATTCTTTGATCTTTTTCTATTAATTAATTAATAAAAATGTTTAAAGAATGTTTTTAATATGAAAATCCATAAAACTGTTTTGTAATTCTCTGCATAAGCTGAAATTTTAATTAATTTTTAAATTTTATGTAACAATTTAATTATGTAACAATGTGCTTTACTCCTTGTATAATGATGTTTCTGGTGCATCTGTAGTTGTGTTTGTGAGAAGTAGTTGTGTCTGACAAGTACCTGAAAAGGCAACATGTTATGTTTTCATAGAACTGGATGTTGGAGATGATCACATTGTTTGTTATGCAAGGGAGAAGGGTAAAGAGAGTCTGACTTGATCTTTGAGACTGTTAATGTCATTGAGTGTCTGTCTTTTTGGGGGATGCAATTTGTTACTGTGTTTGCACATTCTTGCTGTAGCTATGAATCTGTACTAAATTAAATAATGATGCAAACAATTTTTCTTTATATAATTCATAATTTGCTTAATATAATGGAGTTTTTATTGCAGGTAGAAAAAATTATGTTTCCTGAAATGGCAGATGATGATTTATATTTGTTATCTATTGATATAAATGATATAAATGTAAAGAAGTATATTTCAGAAGTAGAAGAAATTTTACAAGAAAACTTATCTGGACCTGATTTGTAAGTGTTTGATATATAAATTAAAATGTTTACTTTTCAAAGGTTAGTGATTTCTGACTACTTGTTCTGTCAAAATGAAATATTTAATGAAAGAGTTCAATGTAATGTCTTTTTTAAGACTATAAATACTATATATAAGCATCTCAAGAACTTCATGTATTAAATATCATCCAACCATCAGCCAAATTAATTGGGCAGAAATTATGCTACAAATATTAATTAGAAACTACATGATTAGAACAACTAGAGATGGATGTTAGGTGCCATCTCTTAACAAAACTATGATTTAATTTTAAATTTAGAATAGTCTGGAAGAAAAGAATTGGCCCAGAGCAGGAGTAAAACCCACAATCTCCACTTACCATATGGTGTGTTGACCAATTACATTACCTGGACCTCCTTCCAGACACATTTAAGCTTTAGATATAACCATCCAACAGTTATCCACAGTTATTCAATGCCCCAGGCCTACTCCAACATGGTGCTCAGATTGCTATCGCTCAGTGGGTAACTGTTGGATGGTTATATCTAAAGCTTAAATGTATCTGGAAGGGAGGAATTACTTGGAGATCCAGATATAATTATAGTTTAGAGATAGTGTAGAATTAAATGCATATTCTCAAAAAGGTAATAAGTGATGATTCTTTAATGATTTTGAAAATAGTGAGGATATCTGTTAATAAAAATATTGATTTTATTAATAACTGAATAAATACCATCAGCTATCAAAAAATATAGAAAAAAAATTATTTTTATATAATTAAAAAAATTAGAGGCTTTCTAGCAATTCCAATATTAAAAGTGCACCAGTTTCTGCTTCACAATTTTAATGTTAAAATCACATTGAAATAATTACTATAATTCCCTGCATATAACCTGCAATGGTGTGTTATATGCACTTGACATACAACCTGCAAAAGTTGCTAGAACATACAGTGTAGATCTGCTTTCAAATCGAGTGTAAAAAACAGATAACTCATTGGATATACACAGGAAATTATGGTAATTTATGATTTCAATTATAAAGAATTTCAAATTTAATTGCCTGGTGACAAGTTGAATTGCTTTTTTTTGAGTAAATATTTCAATATTCTGATCATCTGAATTAATCCATCACAGTAATTGTTGATAATTTTCAAATATTATCTGCATTATTTGAAGGCTTCCATAGGCATGTTGCTGATAGGTGTCTCAAATTTTCAGATAAATTATTTGACAACAATTTGGTCTTTATAATAGTTACCTGACTTTTGATCCAATCTTTATTATTCTGATGATTGCACACCTGCATCTCATTAGCTCTTCCTTCTCCTTGGAGGACAAAGTTTATGGAAATAGCTGCAGGGATAGAGAGAGAAAGTATTGCTGGCAAGATATAATTTTAAACAGTCAATCACTGACCATAATGTCTCATATCATGAAAATGTATTCTATAATATTTTACTATATATGTGGTATTTCTTTGTTTAAATAAAGTTTTAGGGATGGTAAGTTTATTTGTCAAGTTTCATTCCTTCCTATGTGTCTTAACAATAAGTGATCAGACAATTGTTACAATATAATTAAATATTGTCTGAAAACTTCTAAATATTTCAAAATTTATAAATTAAAAATTATGATTGCTAACTTATAAATAAAAATAATTTTTTCTGTCTTAGATATCTTAAATCATGTTCAAGATTTTTGACATTTATTGATGGAACAGCTGCAGAACAGCTTCAGAATTATTTATCTTCAAATCCATCCATAGAATCTATAAAAAATGTAAGAAAAGAATATTTGAAATCACAAATGAACTTTTTATTTTCTCTTTTGTATATAATAATAATTTTATATTTATAATTTTTAAAATAAAATATAAATATTGATCAAATTAATGATTTATAATAGAAAATTGTTATTCTAGAAATTAATTGACATAAAGAAAATCTCCGAAGAAATGACTGGCAAGCCAAATATTGTACATTTAAATTTGTTTTGTTTAGACTGCTCAGATCTAAATAAATATCTTATTCTTCAAGCTGAAAACTTATGGAATTCAATAATTAATTTTAAATTAGAAGAAAATCGATCACATGTGAAAATGTATGACTTTTTAATTATTTATTTAATGTTTTTTTAATATATATACAGGATGATTCAAGTCTTTCAACAAAACATACACCATCTGAGGGGATACATAAATTACAAGTGTATCCCAGTTGTAATGTATGTACAACTGGGATACATGTATGCACATAACATCAGATGTGTTAACATATACTTGTCATAAATGGGAGGAAAATATTCAGTTAAATGGCACTCAGATATACCACATTCTTTTGCATATAAATGCCTGTAAAATAAAATGAAACATTGCATATATATGACAGCATTGAATTACTCTGTAGATAAATAATGAGTGAAGCTTAGATTAATCAGTTGCAAATCTAAACTGAAATATTTTCAATCTACATTTCTACTATTGATAATTGATACGAATTTTAACTACATATCTACTAATTTTAATAAATTAAATTACTTAAAATTAATATAAATTTAATCATAAAGTCTGATAGTTTAACATTATAATAGATCTTTTTTTCACATATATTTTTAAAATTTAATTAATTGATTAATAATAATAAATTTTTACTTGCATAGGATATATGACTCATATGATGAAATGTCTAAAAAGTTAACTATGGAAACAAATAATATTGCTGAATTAGTAAAGTTATCTCTATATCTTAATGAGGTAAAATTTTTATTTAGTGTTTTTTGTAACAGTACTATAAAATTCATATGCTCACTTTGGTTAAATAGTCTTCAGTTAGTCTTTAATTTAATTGTGGTTCTTAATAAATCATGTTGTTAGTAGTGACTTGAAATATTGTAATTGCATATCTATGAATGCATATAAATCAAGGACTTGTTGTATTTAAGAAATTACATTTTTCACCATTATTAAGTATACAAATTTGTTATTGTGATAAAATCAGATCATCCTCCATTAACTACAATTCATTAAAAACTACTTTAATGGAGAAGCCAGAAAAATTAACACTTTTATATTCAGTCCCAATCACTTTTAAGACTCGTGGCTCATCATCAGGAGCTAAAATTGATAGTTTTTTTGTAGTTTTAATCCCTAACAAACAGCTGGGAGGCTCAAAAATGCTACAAAAGCTTTTAAGACTCATGGCTCTTGATGATGAGCCGTAATCTTGAAAGTGATTGGGACTGAATGTGTGTTAATTTTTCTGGTTTTTCCATTAAAGTAGTTTTAAATGAACTATTTTTGTGATTAAAATTCTAACTGAAAGTTACATAAGAATATCTCATAAATGATATTTTAATGTTAAAATTAACTTCAATATTTCAATTGTCAATTATAAATGAACTAAGTTTCTAATTAGATTAAACAGTTTTGTTTTAAAATTATTTGTTATAATTATATAATATTATTATGAAACATATTGAGAAGGTAATCATTCCCCAAAGTGAACTTAATTTATTAGTTTTTTATTTATTAATCTTATATGTTTTATTTAGCTAGGTTCATATTTACTATTATCTATTCACCAGAATTTATAATTTATTAAAATTAACATATTGCAGAAAATAATGATTAGGTCAATTCTTGCAAATTGAAAAATAATAATAGTGTATAATATTATTTTTTTAACTTTGTATTTATGTTTTGTTTTTGAAATATACAAGGTGAGCAGACTTCCACAAACATGATATGGCAGGCAAAATGTGATAAAATTCATTTTGTTGAGAAACATGTTTGATTAACATTTATGTTGAGAAACTTTTCAAACATTTTGAACAATCCACTCATTAGCTGTGTCTGAATCATTACATCTATGTCTTATCAACTCTCAGTTCTAAATGGTGTCCAATATTATGTTTTAAAATATATTTATATCATCCAATTATAAACTTATAGTCCTTAAACAATAAATGATTATTCTTATAAAATCTTATGAACTTAAAATGAAGAAAATACTGATTAATGTTATTTTGCAATGTCCTGTGTTCTACATAAGTGTCAAATATATTTAGCGTTGTAAGAAATTATTTATTGAAAAAATTTAATTTAAGCATTCATTGTTAAAATTTAACAAAATTAAAATTTATAATGTTATATATATGTTACAGTCAAAACCCGTTTTTAGTTAGAACGCGAATCGAGTGTAAAAAACAGATAACTCATTGGATATACACAGGAAATTATGGTAATTTATGATTTCAATTATAAAGAATTTCAAATTTAATTGCCTGGTGACAAGTTGAATTGCTTTTTTTTGAGTAAATATTTCAATATTCTGATCATCTGAATTAATCCATCACAGTAATTGTTGATAATTTTCAAATATTATCTGCATTATTTGAAGGCTTCCATAGGCATGTTGCTGATAGGTGTCTCAAATTTTCAGATAAATTATTTGACAACAATTTGGTCTTTATAATAGTTACCTGACTTTTGATCCAATCTTTATTATTCTGATGATTGCACACCTGCATCTCATTAGCTCTTCCTTCTCCTTGGAGGACAAAGTTTATGGAAATAGCTGCAGGGATAGAGAGAGAAAGTATTGCTGGCAAGATATAATTTTAAACAGTCAATCACTGACCATAATGTCTCATATCATGAAAATGTATTCTATAATATTTTACTATATATGTGGTATTTCTTTGTTTAAATAAAGTTTTAGGGATGGTAAGTTTATTTGTCAAGTTTCATTCCTTCCTATGTGTCTTAACAATAAGTGATCAGACAATTGTTACAATATAATTAAATATTGTCTGAAAACTTCTAAATATTTCAAAATTTATAAATTAAAAATTATGATTGCTAACTTATAAATAAAAATAATTTTTTCTGTCTTAGATATCTTAAATCATGTTCAAGATTTTTGACATTTATTGATGGAACAGCTGCAGAACAGCTTCAGAATTATTTATCTTCAAATCCATCCATAGAATCTATAAAAAATGTAAGAAAAGAATATTTGAAATCACAAATGAACTTTTTATTTTCT